CATGAACTCGGCACAGAGTCCTTCAAAATAAATGGAACTGCCCTCACTTAAAATTAGTCAAGTCAATTAAAATATGCAGCCTCTGAAAGTGGCCACAAGAAAAAAATTGAAGATACATAAAAATGTCTCGAAATTCCATAGCTAAAAAAAACTCCTCCGGACGAGTTCTTCTTTGAAAATGTTTTGTCCCTTTTCCAAGAAACTCCCTCTGAGGAGTTTCAGGTAAACTCAGACTTTTAAGCAGTGCACATTGGTGGACAAAAATGTTTAATGACGACAATAAGAATTTGTTCACATGCAAAAGAGGACCATCAGCCTAACAACTGATTGTTAGTGACTTGATTGTCACCTGTTGTTCACAGAGGAATGAGTCATTTTCACGATAACAGCATTGTAAGAGGGGGACAACCGGTCATGGAGACCTCCAGCTCTGTTTAATGCCGGGTGACACAAAGCAGCCACTGTTCAAAAGGATGGCCCAGTACAGAAGAGCAACATCATCAGGCTAGGACTCTGCAGTTTACTCTTATCTGCAGGCCAGCGTCCGCTATTTTTATGATGCTATTATTGTGAGTATGACTCAACTCTCTGAGAAAAGTAGGGATATTCAGGGCACAAAAGATGGGTTGTTAGGCTGATGGTCCTCTATGAACAATAGGAATATTCAGGACAATAAGGATCGGTTGTTAGGCTGATGGTCCTCTATGAACAATAGGAATATTCAGGACAATAAGGATCGGTTGTTAGGCTGATGGTCCTCTATGAACAATAGGGATATTCAGGACACTAACAATCAGTTGTTAGGCTGATGGTCCTCTATGAACAATAGGGATATTCAGGACACTAACAATCAGTTGTTAGGCTGATGGTCCTCTATGAACAATTTGGATATTCAGGACATTTACAATCAGTTGTTAGGCTGATGGTCAAATATGAACAATAGGGATATTCAGGACACTAACAATCAGTTGTTAGGCTGATGGTCCTCTATGAACAATATGGATATTCAGGACACTAACAATCAGTTGTTAGGCTGATGGTCCTCTGTGAACTACAGGGATATTCAGGACACTAACAACTGATTGTTAGGCTGATGGTCCTCTATAAACAATAGAGATATTCAGGACACTAAGGATCGGTTGTTAGGCTGATGGTCCTCTTTTGCATGTGAACAGTGTTGATTGTCATTATTAAACTTTTTTGTCCACTGTTTGAAGGTACTGCTTATGTTTCTGAGCGTATCTGTAACTCCCCAGACTCAAGAAGTCCTTTGGAGAAGTGATAAAAAAAATTCACAAAGAACTCGTCCAGAGGACCTACTCAACTTTCAGCACATTCTTCAGCCCACTGAAGAACCTCCCTGGTGTTCAGAAAAAGTAAATGTTGATGAAGCAGAGGTTGTGCTTCCACCTTTAATGCATCATCAGATCTTATTGAATTTGTGTTTAAGTTTAACATTTGTGCGCTGGTGTTTTAAAGTGTCTATTAGTTGTACGTAATAAAACACGTCCATTAAGCCCCACAGGCTTCAGAACATTAGTATTACTGACCAGCCCTGGCATAAAGGTTGTGCATGATTGACAGATGTGATGTGCTTAAGAGCTGCCCAATTAATTTTGACAAATGGCTCGATGTATTCARCATCAGGATGTGCAGCAGCATGAAATGAGCTTTAATCACTGCCAGTCATCGCAGGTCTGATGTTCTCCGTTCTGCTCCGCTGGACGGAGAACATGTTTGCTTTTTAGATGAGCTGAAAGGGGAGCTGCTGCACATCTGGGCTGTGAGAAATGCACGATGTCACGCATGAAAGGAAACATACAGTCGGCCATCTTTAGATGTCGGTCACTCTGATGAGCCATCTTCAGTGGGACATTTATGTAGCGGCTGAATACTGAAACTTGTTTTATTATAAACTGAGTGTCAGAGCTCCTAATTTACAGCTGATTCCTGAATATAAATCAAGCTAGATGACTTTAAATTCAACTGTTCTGTAGATGATCTGGAAGCAGTTTATCTTCTTGAATAAACCGTAACTACTCAGTTTTTATTTTTCTAGTTTCATTTATYTTTTGGTTTAATTTTTTGTTATTCTAGATGAGCACATTTTCTGATTAAGTTTTCTTTAAGTCCATATTTTTAAGCCATGTGTTTAAAACTGAGCTCATCTTGTAAAAATGTGTTTCTCTAAAAGGTCATTTTGGATCAGCGGCTGACAGAAAATCACTTTAGCTTCTTGGTTAAATACAAACTAACCTCATGTTCAGATCTGTTTTGCTTCTTTAAAAACTTACCTCTCAAATGGAGAATTGAATTAAAAAGACCTCTGCTGAAGCTTAAAAACAAAAAATAAAACATTTAGTCGACTTCCAGCCAGACCTTCACAAACACATTTTAAAGGAAGGAGTCATACTGCCATCTAGTGGTCACATGTTAAACAAGCAGATGTGTTTATTATTAGCTCAGCTCCAACACTAGCCTGGCCTTTACTTCCTGTGCTCAGTAGTTTCCCAAGCGTAGGACAAGGGTCTGGTTTTACCAGACTGCTCTGCTCCAACACACCTGATTTCAATCACCTAATTATTAACTCTTCAGCCTGACAGAAGCAAAAGTATTCAAATTTGAATTAGGTTCTTCAAGAAAACAAAGTTAATTAACAGAGTACGATTATGGATAGATTTTTAATTTTTTGGTTTTTTTTGTTTATTCACTCATTTTTGTTGGGAAAAGAACTTAACAAATGCAGGCACAGTTACAAAGAAAGGACAGGAAAWAGAACACAACAAAATATTCGAACATGCACTAGAGTAGACATTAAAAAACACTGAGCGTAGTGATCTTAAGATTTGATTGAAGTGATGAAAACTCCACACGACTGGTTTAAAACTGACATGAAACGCTGCAGGCGAAATCCATTTAAAACACNCCTCCTGGAAAAACAGAAAACACCACACCAGTATCTTGCAAAAAATGACAAGTTTCAATACCATGCATGGAAAATGAACTTTATCATTATGTTTACACAATGCTGATGAGTAACAGCATGTCTCAATTGTACAAGTGGTAATGTTCTGTGAGGTATTGATCCGCACTCCATTCTAGTAGGTGGCGGTAATGCACAACACAAATTGCCAACCGCCAATAAAACATATGAAGACAGATCAGTTTAAGTCAGGTGACGAATCTTTGCACCTGAAAGAGTCGGAGTCTCAACAGAACTTTTCCCAAATTGGAAAACAAAAACACAGAAATGTTGACCTTACTCTGTCGTTTTTGTGGATGTTGAACTAAAGTTGGGTGTGGTAGTAGTGGTCAGAGGTCATTAAAAACACCGTATGTAGTGATCTTAAGATTTGATTGAAGTGATGAAAACTCCACACGACTGGTTTAAAACTGACATGAAACGCTGCAGGCGAAATCCATTTAAAACACCTTCCTGTTGAACAGCAGCAAGTTGCAGTTGTTCCATTTACTTGTTAGTTTAAATGTTTTAGCTCTTTGGTAAATATTCATATTGTTGTAACATTTTACATTTGATATTTTGAAATGTTAATTTTTTTAAATCTTTTGTTTCCTATCATGCTTGCTCATCTTGTGGGCTGGGTAACTACTTCCGAAAAAAAAAAAAAATCTGGACTGCCACATTAAAATCAAAGATGGCCACCGTCATAAATAATATATTTAAATCAACTATAATCATTTGAGGAAACTGCTTTCTAGAGTTTATACAGTAAAAGTAGTTACCTTAAATGAAGTGGTGGCCAGTGGGGTTGCCAAAGAATAATGTATGGTGGTCGAGGTCACCACTGGCCACCCCTTGGCTCTGTCATTGCACCTGGGGGTGGATAAAAGTCCCTCTGCTTGCTCAGATTCATCTGACAAGAAAAACTTACCTCTCCTTTTGTAAACGTCTCATCGAAAACATTATTTCCTCACATTGCAGCCTAGAAAAACACCTCAGCAACATCAACGTACCACTTTTTATTTCTCACCAAACAAATCCTGTATGAAGTTATGGGGGTCAAAAAAGCCACACACACAGCTGCTGTCTTACATTTTATTGTGATGGGGAGTCATAAAAATGGAGCAAACCTAAAAAAAAAAAAAAATGCAAAGGATACAAAAAGACAGCGGATTTACAAAGAGGTTGGAGAGACAGACGGTTCGCAGCCTTCAACAGTACAACGGAAAGTACAAAGTTGGCACAGAACAGAAGACAGAGCGGCGGGACGATGCAGATTTGGCTTCAAAACATAAAAAACGGGGGGGAGAAAAATAAATGTCTTCAGAAGAATATCCTTCATTAAAACGGTGACGACTCRTGCGTTTAAAATCACAGAATTCAGTAGCTTAATAACAACGCAAAGATGCACATGTAACAGTTTGTTTCTCACTTCATTCCTGTTTTTTTTCCTCTTCTAAAAACAGTCAAGTTTACAGAGTACACATTTTATTTCATTGTTTTTTTTTTGTTTTGTTTTTTTTTAGGTTTTCACTGTTTTGTTAAAACAAACTTGAGCTCCCAGAACCACATGTTGGGATTCTTTTGTTTGTCTCAAGAGGTTTTTTTTTCCTTTTTCATACTAAAATATATTATTGTATCAATTCAAACTACAGTAATGTACACTACAATGTGTAATAAATAACCATAAAAGAAAATAATATAAAAATAAGACACATTAAATATAAAAAAGTTTTCTAAAAGCTAAACCGGAATAATTTTTTATTTTTTTTTCAGTGAAAAGGGCTCTAATACTGCCTTTATGACAAAAACATACAGGACAAGTAAAAACTATAAAGGGGAAAAAAAAGGTGAAATAAAAATAAACACTGTTTGGTAAAACCAACTCAAAACTCTTCAGGCACCACATTTTGTAACGTTTGTTACTTGAAGTGCGGGACAGCTTATCACAAGTGGACCAAACTTATTCTCTTCTTTTCATGTAAATTAAGAAGATTTTTAGTAACATTTAAACAACTTTATGACGGAGTATTAGGGCCACACAACAAGACTTTTTTTATTATGAGAATAAAGTCGTAATATTACAAAATTAAAGTCATAATTTTACGAGATTAAAGTCGTAATAATACGAGATTAAAGTCATAATTTTATGAGAATAAAGTCGTTCTCGTAATATTATGACTTTATTCTCATAAAATTACGACTTTAATCTCGTAATAAAAAAAATCTCGTTGCGTGGCCCTAATACTCCGTCGCACAGCTTCGACAACATTTTTTAAACTAATTTTTGTTAAAACATTTGAGAAGTTTAACGAATTTTTGCACATTTTTTTAGTAAAAAAACACTTCAAATTTAATTTTGATCACAAAAACAAACAAAAAACAAAACAAACAAAGAAAAAACAAACAAACAAACAAAAAGACAGATCTGCAGTCCTGTGCAAGAGAACAAACATTAGTGAACGTGGTTCCTGTGAGTCAAGAGAGGAACATAATACTGGCTACATGTGTGAAGAAATAATACTGTTCAATGGCACTTTTAACAGCACACAGGTCTTGCATAAGGCTGGAGGCATTGGGGTGGAGCAGGAAACAGCCCTGGTCCTTCACATACAATATGACTTCATATATAAGCTAACAACACTGAAACACTGACGAGTAAAGTAAACCGAAACAAGGAGAAGCTCCGTAGGATTCAGCGTGTGTGATTAGGTCAGAATCTGTGGTGACCCCACCCGTTCAGGCTGCGCCGGGTTGCAAATCAAACGCGCCTGACGCTGGCTTTGAGGTTGTGACCATTTCTTCCCTGATAGGACAAATTTGGTTTTGGCATAAAGAAGCCGCCTTCTGACTCCCCCGACCCCCTTCGTCCCCGCCCACAACCCTCCCCAGGAATACTTTGTTTTCCTTAAGGCTAACAGTCAAACTGAAAACAAAAATAATGCTAACTAGCAGAGACTAAAACTAACACAAACAACATCTTGCTAGCTAGTGTACACGTATAACACTGAAGGGCTTACAATGCATGAGGCATGTATCCGTAGGTAAACTAGGAATACTGTAGTGCAGAGGTTTTTGTTCGTAGAACTCAATAAAATACTGATTTAGGAAACTTCATTGGCAATAAAAAGGTATAGAAATCTTTCTCTTCTTTACAGGTTAAAATGGTTTCAAACAATAAGATTAGTAACACTGACTGGCTGAGTAATAAAAAAACAAAACGACCAGGGAAAGTCTCAGTAACAAGTCTAACAAGTTGATGGATGGGTACTACTTCAAAATCTGTACTTCTATAAACAGTTTAAACACTAATAATTCATTTCTCACAAATAAAAGTTACCTTTTTTCTCTTTTTTTGTTAAGTTCAGGCACACTGGGGTTTTTGTACACAGTAGTGGACCGTTAAGATTAGGCAACTTCCGAGACTTGCTTCTGAAGCGGTTTTGTCTTTAAAAAGAGTTTTGATGGCCAACAAATGCGAATGTTTCTTTTCCTTCATTTGTTTGTCACCACTTCCTGCGGGGGCTCGGCGCCGTCTGATCCCTCCCTGATGCTTTTGTCCGTCTCTGCTTCACAGTCGGCCGTTTTCTCTGCTGCCTCCTCCTTCGCTTTTTGATTTTCCTCCAACCTGCTGCCTTCCAGGTGATTATTCCCCAGCTCAACCTCGACCACATCACAAGCTAACTCCTCCTGCTCCTCCGTGTCTTCGTCAGCCTCTTCCTCTGCCAAACCGTCCTCCTCTTCGTCGTCATCGTCGTCAAAGTTACCTTCGTAGATCTCGCACTCGCCGTCGTCCACCTGGACCACCCGGATGTCGTCCATGCAAATGGCCTCGTCGTCTTCGTCCATGTCTTCCTCGCTCTCCCTCTCGTCTGAGTCCATTTGGGAAGGTGGGGTCGTGGTCCGGCTGTCCGGCTGCGGGCCGACACCGGGACTGCCGAGCTCTAACTGGACCCTGCGTGGTCCCGAGGCGGCGCCCGGGTTGGACCCGTCCTTCTTGCAGTAGGAGTAGCGGTGGTTCATGTGCTGGGAGTAGGAGCCCGAGTGAGAGAAACGCTTCCCGCACTTGTCACACTGGTAGGGTTTCTCACCGGAGTGCAGCCTCGAGTGTTCGATCAGGTGGTGTTTGTGTTTGAAGGCCTTGTTGCAGATGGTGCATTCATGGGGCCGTTTTCCTGCAGAGACAAGAAACCACCAGAACATAAAAGACCAGACTCAGACTGAACTCTACTACAGACACGAGTTTTCAAATAAGATTTAAAGGACTGGAAGAGTCTGGGGGCCAAAAGCTTGTTCCCCTACGTGTTTACATTTAGCCTCTGGCTGCACCAAGAGGACCTGGAAGATCTCAGTCATCTTTAGGACTTGTAGAAGTCCAGCAGTTTAGGATATCACATATTAAAAACAACAACAGCTGAACAAAATGCTTTACAGTTCAGTCAAAGACTTCACTGAGATGATTCATCCAAACCAGCATAACTGAGAATTACAATAATCCAAACAAGATGAAATGAAAACATTTGGGGACCAAAACATTTCAAAATTTAGAACTTAAAAGAATCAACATTTTTTCATAGAATTTCCTTTTTTCTAGCAACGGAAGGACAGTTCAGTTCATACAGTGATACTCAACTGTATTTTTCATTTAGACCACATCAACTGGACAGGTTGGCCATCCTCGTCCAATGTTTGTCCTGCATCAGTGACTGGCTTTCCAACAACTTCCTAGTTCTTAACACCAGTAAGACAGAAACTATGATTATTGCTCCCAGTCACTTGAATCAAAATATGAGCCAGAAAGTTGCATCTTTTTCCCCGTTAATAAAATCAAAGGTAAAAATTTTGGGTGTCACATTTGACTCAACATTAGGCTTCGACTCACATAAAGGCTGTTTCCTGTTCTTGTTTCTTTCATTTAAGAAACATTTCAAAGATTAGACACATGGTCTCCAGAGTTGATCTTGAAACAATCATTCATGCTTTTGTCTCATCTCGCTGGACTAATGTAATGTCTTTTTCAAATGTCTGGATAAATCCACAATTTCCCGTTTGCAATTAATTCAAAACGCAGCAGCCAGACTTCTCACCAAATCTAGCTACTAGGTACTCATGCTGACGCACAGAGCATTACATGGCCAGGACTCTGACTACTTTAGCCAGTTTGTAATTAAATATTCTGTTGCTCGTTGTCTCCGTTCTGAGACTTTGAATGTCCTGGTTGTACCATGAACTTGATTAAAAACTAAAGGCTGTGGAACAGTTTGCACTTACAGCTTCATTTTTCTGACTCTGTGGAAGCTTTTAAAAAACAGCTAAAGACATTTTTATTTTTCCAGGCTTGTATGTCTTGATTTATTGTCATGTGTTTTTCTTTTTGTTTTGTTCAGTGTGTTTTCTATTGTACAGCGCTTTGTGATTTTGTGTCTGTGAAGAGCGCTCTATAAATAAATTTGACTTACTTACTTACGCATATATATCAGTGACGTGCGGTCAGGGGAGGCAGGTGAGGCAGTGCCTCACCAGCCATCATGGAAAGAAAGAAAATATATAATCATAAAGTAATTTAAATTGTTATATTCATCCGGTGGTTTGTACTAAAAAATATTTATTTTTCACGTAGCTTCACCAATTTCGATTTTTATTTGTTCAAAATCGCTGAWTTTTCTTATTTTCCCATTCAAATGCTTGGAAGCGATGCCGGTGAGGCAGCAGCGAGCTCTGCCTCACCTTGGATTGCGCAACCCCTGGCTCTGCGCTGGCTGCTAAGCGGAGAGAGCATG